TAATGGTGCTGGTAATGTTGTTAAAAAGATACAATTGAATCAAATAGATAAACCTTCCGGTATAATATGGGTCCAATTTGACCATTCAGATGTTGGAGAGAAGACCAGACATGAAAATAGACATCTTTATGTCCAAGGTATTGAGTCCACATGGACTCCAATAAAGCCAATCACAACTCAGTTTGCTGTGGGTAGAAACCAAACTGCACAAGTTGTTAGAAAACAGTTTCCACTTAGACCCGCTGCGGCTAAGACAATTCACCGTTCACAAGGTGACACTGAACAAAAAATTGTTGTAAATTTCAACACTAGAAGATCAATACTACATATGCATTATGTTGGTTTGAGCAGGGTAACAGCAATTGAAGGTTTATTTATCACTGACCCATGTGAAGATAAAATAGCTGTCAATCCTCATGCATGTAGCAGCTGAAATGGAACATTTGAGAAATGAACGTGTACTAAAACTAAGTGTCACTCCTATTTATAAGGCAGACCAAGTCTCATTCAAACTGTGCTATCTAAATGCACGGTCGTTGCATAAACACATTGATGATATTCGGCATGATTTTAATTTCGCAAATACAGACATCAATATTTTTTCTGAAAATGCCACTCGGATAATGCCAGTATGTATGATATGGATGGTTACACCTTGTTCAGAAATGATGGTCACTCTTCGACTACCAGACCCTTTGGTGGCATGGCAGTGTTTAGCAGAGTTGAATTCTTACCTGGATATCCATGTTGTTATAATATCAATGGCATTGAAATACCATTATGAAAGCAATGATATGATTCGTCCACTTGTTACTATAATTGGTATATATCGATCACCCAGAATTCTAGTACAACAATTGTGTGCAGCATTAGATGAAGTTTTGAGGTTCTGTACTTCTCAATTTAACATTTTCATTGGTGATTTTAATATCAATTGGTTGGATGAAGCCAATAGAAGGCCTTTCAGTAGATTTTTTATCAATGATCATAACTATATGCAATTGGTGTCTAATGTCACTACAGACAATCGGACATTAATAGATCATAGTTATACAAATCTGCCAGAGTCACAAGTTAGTTCACACATTTTGGAAACTTATTTCTCAGATCATAAAGCAGTTTGTGTCTTAATTAATTGTTTTCATTAAAGCAAACTTAGCATTGTCATGAAATATTTCTATATTGGGACAAGAGTCACTGGACACAATTCACTTAAATACTTACACATTTTGGTTTTATACACATTAGAATTCAACAAAATTTACTAATTTTCAAATGCTAATAACAGAATCACCAGGTAAGCAAGTTTTTTTTACACCTCCCCCCAGCCCCCACCCACCATTTTGCTTTCTAACATAAATGTTTTTGTTTAGAGATTAATACAACAATGACAAATAAATGTACTGGATATATTTGTTGGATAATTCCATCAGAACAACCCACCTGCAAGACAATCTTACTTAAATTACATTAGTATGGCTATACGAAAATAACTTAACAGCTACAATAATCATATGGATGGATCTGATCAATGGCATACAATGTACAAAACCAAACTTGTACTCAAATGGATAGCTTCTACTCAAACGGATTTTCTTTAACAATACAAATTGTTTTTGTGTGGATATGCTGTGTTAAAATTATGCCGAACAGTGTGCTATATCATTAACTGTGCACAGGACTGGAATGGAATTATACACTTCACTTGCGACCCTCAAAACATTCTCTACTGATCAGTAGTCTTCCATGTTCCTCGAATACTTTGTGTATGTTACTCAACAGTTAACATTGGCAAGTGTAATTAACAAGTGACAACAGAACTTTTGCTTCATATGATTACAATAAAGTTTTGAAAATTCTATGTGTATGGATTGACAAGTGACAACATGTGCTATATCCTGACTATATGGCATCTAAAATGTTTTGTATATTGACATTATATGGATAATAAAGATTGTCAAGCTATCTCTGTGACATCACAACTTTTAGTTGACCTAAGGAAACCTTTATTACAGTTATGGAAACACCGCTGCAAGTGGAATTTATAGCAGCTGTTTTATTCACCATGAAAACCAGATCTCATTATTTTATTCAATACTAGAATCTAACATTATTTTTAAAACATCTATTTTCAATTGAAAACCTTCAGAAACTGTACAGTCTATAATATATACTATATAATATATACTCGTGATCAGGCGGTGTGCGCACTGCGACCGCAATGCATTATTTTGGATATTTTCTTAAAGATGGCGGATTTCTAGCACGATTAAAGGTATGTTGGCGCTCTATTTTCTGCCACGTTTTAAAGTTTAAACTTTTTGTTTTTTATTAAAAAGGAAGTTACATGTAATATTTTTATGCCGTGTTACTTTTCAAATCGATAATTTTTGGAATTCGATAAAAAATATCATTTGATTGTAAACTCGTGTATTTTTCCCAAATACACTGGTCCATTTACTTTTACATGTCACAGCTTAACCGTTCACACATCACATTTAAAATTGCAATTGGCATAATCTATGACCATTATTTGTGACCATATTTAATAGCGCCCCTTGGCGCCCCTCAATATTGTATATTTTTTGGTCTTTTATCTCATGGTATTTCCTTTGCTAATTTCAGGTCTTCTTGTCCAGAGTTCATGTTCTCCCGCTATTTTGGGGAAGCGTTCGTGCATCCCAGAGTCCCATACGCCAGGCAAACAAAAAACAAAGCGGCAACGAAATAATAAACGCAAAAGAGAAGCAAAAAAAATTTCAAATGGAAAAAATAATTGTGTCAAAATGAGCAAGACACAATACACAATACACAATGGCAGACTGTTGGACAACCGAAGAACAGACTTAATGGGACTGTTTCACATTTGACAGGATCAATGACTGTCTGGTGGTGAAAAACCATTTGTGCTTGTTGGAACCGTTTCTTGTAGTCAGTTGGAGCAAATGGCAATGACTGGAACACGTTTAAATAATTTTTGTTCTCACAAGCAATTTTCTTAGCCTTATTTATGCCAATACCTCGGATATTTTCTATGTAGTCACAACCAGCTGCAATACACATATCAGTAAACTTTTCCTTGGTTAATTTTAGATGTGTTAAAATTTTTGCCATTTCCACCAAGTTACCCATACCATTTGTTTGTAGCTTAAATAGCACCTGAAATATATGACATGTATACTGTAGTCCACATTGCTGCAAAATGCCTTACCTACGGATGTAATAATACAGATAGTGTCTCGCACAAATAGTGTACAGCATTATACCTGGGCATTCACCAAGTCAATGTTGAAAATAATAGTTCTGTGTAAATTTTACCCCACCCAGGCCAGCCAATATTTAGAAGCAGGACACCCATGTCAGCAGTTTCACACAGTGTATTAATTATGTTATGGTATGAACTACTTTGCATATGTATTTGAACTGCCAGGCTGACCTGGTTCCCAATCTGATAAAACTTTCTCCCTATAAACACAAACTGGGCTGGTGTGGATGGAAGTTCTATGAATGCTGCTGTGAGTTATGTAGAAAAACTGTTAAAACACTGTAAACCCACTACACTTGTGCTGTTTATAAAGCATATACAATCACAACAAATTTGTTATTCATATATTTTATAACACTTCATTGAACAATGTTTTACTAAGTCTATACCTGCATACATGACCACCATCATCAAAATGCAAACAAAAACATCCCATTTTATACAACAATTATTATACAACAACATGCTAGAATCCATGTATTAGCATTAACATCACACTGATATAGAGCATTTGCACATGACGTCACAGCCGCCATGTTGGTGTTCCAATTCAAAATAATTTTAATTAGACTCTTGTCTGGAACACCAACATGGCCGCCATGGCTTTTGTTGAGTTGGTCCCTGGGGAATGAGTGCAAATGCTCTATACAAGCAGGTCCTAATCTTAACACACTGCAAAACCACAGCCTCAAATCAAAGTGCTTGGGGACAAGGCTGGCAAAACCAGCATATCCATTATTCACAATAAATGCAATTTCTGGATCTGCTTCATATGGTGCCATTATGTACTGAATATCTTTTTCACAGCAAAGCTGAAAGGTGGATAATAACAAATTGTTATTTACTGCACACAACTACTTTCCAATTTACTCTATAATTTTTTATGCATTTGTACATAAAAAGGGTGTCGTTGAAAAATGGGAATTTGAATTTTGCAAAATAAATTGATCAAATGTCTGATTAGCAATGTATTGGCATAGATTATAAATTGTTGTGACATTCCTGTGCACCAATAAAATGTAAATTCTGGGGAGGGGTATGGGCAAGGTGTGAGGATTTGGATTTTTTTTTAATTTTGGGTAAATTCTAGTGAGTGGAAGGCATACAAAGTTCTTGAAAACTAGATGTGAAAACTAGTATGTGGTTCAATTTAAACCACATCATTTTTCTTACTCTCCATATATTGTTATGCAAAGCGTTTTCCTGCCAGCTGCAAATTGCCATTGCAATGACCTTTTATTACTTAGATGCTATTTATATGACCTTGGATACTAGAGACACCCAATCCACACAAGACAACTTCACTGCATGTTTATATGAAAAAAATTTATAGCCCTGGCACTGTATCTCTTCCTACGAGAATGGCTCTAAGTATGAGATTGTGACTCCTGAAACATGCAGTTATTTGTTTGAAGGCCTGGGAATGAAAAGTTATCCCTGGAGGCCGAGACAAACTATTTACATGGACAAAAGTTGTCCCTCCTACAAGGGTAACCCTGTTTTGTAAACAGGGTGTCCCTACTGCCAGGGTGACCCTACCAGCCGAGACGAAAACTTTCCATATAAACACTTGCGTTTAAATGTTATATAATGAATATAATTTTGCCTCTCCCAACCCGAGATTATATAAACAGCACCTCATCTCTTTTCAATGTTGCATTATATTTACAATATTTGTGATACCAAAAATTGAATTGGCATGGCATATATGATTTTCATCCCATAGTTTTTAGGTAAGATTGTGTAGTCAAACTATAGAAATTGTGACCTATGATGGCATTAGAAGTGCTAAAATGATGGGCAAATTCTAAGCATAACTAAAATTACATGGAATTTTACAGATACTGTACTGAGCATATAACTGGCTTGTATATTGCATTAAATTAAACAATATAATGTTGCAGAAAAATTTCCGTGTCTATGCATACTTTTACCGTATGTCCACAACCCTGAAAAGTTTGCATAATAATTATAATAACAATACAGTCATAAGAACAATAAAGTAAATAGAATATACATAAGTTTAGCGATTGAAACACTGCACAAATTGATAAGTAAACATATAAATAAAAACATACTTGCGATCATCGCCAAATCTTTGAAACTCACAGCCAACGCTTTGTGCAGCCAGCAGGATGCATTGACTGCACAAACTTTTCCAGAAGTTCTTTGACATGTACTGCCACTGTTGATTCTTTCAAGAAGGGCAAAAGACACTTTTAATATACCCATCGCTCGGCCGTGCACAGTGTTTTCACCTCGAACGTCAGAACGCAAATGAGTGAATTTTTTATTTTACTCATGATGCATTGCGGTCGCAGTGCGCACACCGCCTGACTCGTGATGTAAATTTTAAAATATTTTATTTTATGCTAGTGTAATATTGTATGCATGAAAATTTTATTTTCTGACGCATAATTATCTGTTACAATTATAATCACATTACAAAATTAGTTAGGGAGCAGTTGCCACTGCTTGTTTGACTTTAAAATCTTATTTGCTATTATAATTATAATAAGTGATGAAATATTTCAATTGTCCCATGTCATCATTATTCAGTTCCTTTCAACAAAATACAAAATGTGAATCCAGTTTTTCGCAGACACGTGTACGCGTAGCGTACCTATTTTTGCTGTTAAAGTTGGCTAATTTGAGCGTTTTCACAAAATGGCCGGGAGAAAGAAACCTGGAAACTAATTACCAGAAGTGACGTACACCCAGGGAGAAGCGAAGTGGCGAGGTCTGAAGGTCTGAAGTGAGCAGTGTTATTAAATATATAGATTATGGATAAAAGATACAAATTTTATAAACATGTCTACTTCCCCGTCTGATAGCGAAACTTCTGTCGATACCGATAACAGCCCAAACGACTCGGACACTGATTTTATATCGGGATACTGTACGTCTTCGAGGGTCAAAATAACGACGATGTTGCCAGTGCAACAGCTGGTAATGCAGAGGAGACGAACGATGGCTCTCTGTCTTACGAAGACGAGCCTATAGCAGATGACGTTTGGCTTGCCAACTACAAAGAGCAAAAACGAAAGCAAGACGAGCGGCGCAAAGAAATGGATGGAAAGTCGTTTGGAGCAACCTGATTCTGTGCATATATGGTAAGTGACACGAAAAATGTAAAAATAACATTTCTCAAGCGAATACTATATCACTACAGTCTATTTATACAAATTCCTTTTACGATTTTTGTTAGGTGTAAATGTGGTAATTGTAGCACCGAATTGTTGCAAAATAGTAAAGAAGCACAGTGCTGTATGGAGATAGGTGGCTGTGTTGAAGCCATAAACAGCGATCAAGTCCTCAGCGAAGTCGATAGTCTACCGAGTTGTGTGACATTCCATCCTGGGTTTAACCCCGTTTGTTTAGAAACCTGGTCACTTCGCCAAGCAGGACGAAAGTATCGAAAGATTGACGGGACTAAGTACCATAAGTCAGATTCAGAGAACAGGTAAGATAGAGAATATTCTTGGGCATTGCACAGTAGTGAAAACTTGGGGTTTATTAATTACCGTAATTATTTATATTGCGATTTAAATCAATTGTCCAAAAAAATAAAATTATGTTGGAGTTATGGTTGGCAATTCATTATTTGATAAACAAAGCAGTGGTGGATGAAGCAAGGGTTGTGTCTCCCCCCCCCCCCCCCCAAGAAAAAGTATTACATCAGACACTTGTGTCACTGATCTTTGTTCATTTGTTAGAATGGCACTCTATCTGCACTCTAGCAAACGCTGTTTTGTATCCTTGAAAACTTAACTGGTGAATTAATCTTTTGCTCCATCTCCCTCAAGAGCTTCCTAGTGACTTTGGTGACCCATTGTGCACACTCCAACAATTATGTTGTTTCCATGCATTCCTTTACTTTAAATAATATTCATGAAGTGCCTTTGACTTTCCATTATAGATATCTTCGTGCAGTTTCATACAGGGAATTTACATACCTGGTTTACGGCTACCTGAGACAACGGAGATATCCACTACCTGCATGTGCATATCATGCAATTAGAAAAACATTTTTGGAAGACAAAGATTCTAAATGTTTGGGTTATGATGATGGACAATAGAGATCCACTGAAAGTGTGTTCATTGCATATCAAAAGGAATTAAGTTGTTTCAGTTCATGTTTGTTACAAATTGAATGTTACCATGTCTTGTGGATTGTCTATGATCTGGAGTAACATAATTGTTACAAAGGAGGTTCGGGTATTTCCTACAAGCACAGTTGAGGAAGCCAGTTTTATTGTTTATGCAATTACAAAGTTATGATAACTTTTATATTGGGATATAAAGCACAACACACAATATAATTAGTCACAATAATTGTGCATCAGCTGATTAAACAGCTCATCAATTGATCAGCTGAACATTGTGAAACAATGCACTTCTACTATTCCACACTGCTATTTTGATTCTTTGTACATCCCACAACAAATTTGTGTCCCTTCATTGGGTGCCCACAGGATTTACACCGAGGCTTGTGTCTTGTTGTCACTGCCACGTGCTCTGCAACCTCACAAACTACAAGAATAAAACACATACAATATACATAGATTAGTCCTATGTGAAATATGTACCAATTAATATCTATGCTGGGTACAATCCCATGTTGCATGCTTTCTGTAGTGTCTGTCTGTACCATTGTAGTAAAATTAGGCAAAGGTTACAACTCAATTTTTACTGCAATTATATAAAAAATACAATTTAAAATAATTCACCTCTTGCAGTTGCTGGGACATCTTCAATAACCATTTGTTTTCGCTGATCCCTTTTTGCTATGGCTTCATCTTTTGGCTGTTTCTCCAGCATGGTGTCCATAGGCGATGGAGTTATTTCTGCCAGAGCTTTGGAGGCACGTTCACGGTCATTTTCAGTAGACTGTACAAATGTCTCGAAAATATCATCTACATAATCTTGAAGTTAGAAAAAATAATTGTAAATTAACCCATTAACCCTTCAAGTGGCAATGCACCCTGATGCACCCTACTTTATTTTTTGCTCTGTCTAACACCAGATGATTTTACTTGTCTTGCTACTCAATGGATTAACTGTCAGTACACTACTGCTGATGAGTAAAATCATCTGGCATTAGACTGAGCAAAGTAATAAAGTAGGGTGAATCTGGGTGCATTGCCAGCTAATAGGTTAGTATAATGTATGTTATGAATAAAAAAACAAGTTTGACTCACCAAAGTTTGGTTTTACTGTGACATTCTGGACTGTGGCTTCCCCATTCTTAAATTTGGGGTAGACAATTTTAAGCTGTTCTGATCCATTGGGTTTTTTCTTAAAATCTCTGTGTAAATTGCAGTTGAAATGTATCGCTGACAGAGCATGTCTACCAAAATGAAATAATCTTTAAGTTTCATAAACTATTTCTACAGTAGATATAGAAATCCTATGAAAAACTGTAACTGCAGACTGGGATGAGGTGGATATGGCTACCATACTGAACACTGGGGAGATGCAGTAACAAAATTACAGTCAACATTCTGTACAGTGCACAGTATGCTCACAATTTAAAAATCAAGGAAATTATAACATAAACAACTAACCTGCAATACATCCCAGGAAATTTAAACACAACCATTTGGGGGGCAAAATGATTTAGGACGGAGTGAAACCCTTCCAAACTACTTGTTTGTGAGTGTGAAGATGCCTGCATTATTCCACTCTTGATGCTCTTTTTTGTCAAGGTTTTACATACTTCATCATAAACAGCAGAATCTAGAAATATACTTGTGTTAATGTAACCAGTGTACAGTACGTTACCCACTATGACGTTTCATTGCACTATTTAACTACTAAGACCAGAATGCTTTGCAGGTATAACGTACCTTGCAATTATGCTTGAATGTTGGAAAAGCATGCTGGTCTTATTAGTAAAATAGTGCAATAAATGTCATAATGGGTAAGGTCAATTCAGAATGATTATGAGCAATTTGAACAATGACCTTTTCTTATAGTACATTAATTCATAACAAAATACTGTAGCAGTATCTTTACTACAACAGTAGTAAAACAGCAAACATCTTTAAATAGCTCATTAAATAGCCCAGGGAAAGCAATTTGCCCTAACAAGTCCACCTGAAAATTGCAAAGTAGCATATACATTAAATAGGGCTGTTTTCAGGCTATCAGTTGTTAAATGCCACCTAGAAAGCTGGGAATTGTTCATGAACCTTATAGTTATCGATAAAGCTTTTTGGCAGTTTTTCTGCCAGAAGAAAAAAGTTGATACAGTCAGATTGCAGAGAAAATTTTTCCTTTAATTGAAGAGAAATGAAACAGGAAGCAGCCAGGCCATGGAGTATCAAGGTTTTCAAAGGTGCATGGAATTTGTCTTACAGAGGAGTTGAATATGACAATATTCATTTCTGATAGACATCGATAAAGAAACACATGAGAGAGCAACTTCCAAAAGTCGTTCACTACTTTGATCTTTGGCATCTTACAAAAAGTAAGATGGAATTAACAGATGGCATGTTTTCATTTTCATATATACCATAGAAGTTCTAGGAGTGGTTATTATTATGGGACACTGTATAATTATAATATTTGCATTTGTCTATTTAGAAGTCCAAAAGGTCTTGCAGAAAATTGCAAAGAAGAAAGGGAATGATTGTCTCTTAGAATGGATTAAGCCTTGTGCAAATCATTTGTATTGGAGTGCGACCACAACACTAAATGGTGATGGACAAGTTATTTGGGCTAAGTTTGAATCATTTTTTAGCCATATCATTGACAAACATGAAGACCTTACCAACCAACGGTTCAACGGGTGTGCTCATAAAGAAAACAGCACAGACAGGAAATGGCTACTTGAAGGTATATATGTAATGTACAGAATAGTTGGAAAGTGGGAGTAACATTTATACAGTATGTCAGCAAGGTTGTTAAATATCAACTTAGCAATTTCCACCTAACACATAGACACTTACATTTCAAAAACATCTAATTTATACAGTATCTCAAAATACTATCTCTGTGTTTAAGCTACAGTAAACAACTGCATGACACAATTATTCTGACAAGGCAGTTTACCAACATGTACTTCCAGCCATACCTGGACAAGGCTAAAGTGTATAACCTTATACACTTAATGTCTGCTCCCGAGGGAAATAGTTAGTTTTGTTTTCCCGAGAATCTCAATGTTTCCCGAGACGAAGTCGAGGGAAACATTAAGATTCGAGGGAAACATTAAGATTCGAGGGAAAACAAAACTAACTATTTCCCGAGGGAACAGGCATTAAGTGTTTTGTTATATAGCGACGAACAAAAATCAACTTCAACAACATTCATACAACAATTGTATTTTCGTGACAAAAACTCTATAGTGTAAACGAGTTTAAAATTAAAAGAACCTACTTAAACGGTTTCAGCAGCATATCCTGTTGCCTGTTGTATATTTTTCTTCTCTTTTATATTCTTTATTTGAACACAAACTTGGAAAATCGTAGTTTCTAATTATCTGAGTTGTGCCTCCATTTTGTTTATTTATGTACGTGGCCGGTCGGGGCGGGCAACAATTTTTCACTTGTTGCCCGGCGGGAAACATTGCATTTATCTGAAGTCACGTGACCACAAATCAGCCAATCACGTTTGGTGTTCACGCTAGCTATATAACAAGACAGTTTGTTTATTGAGATGCATACATGACAGTTTGTTTATTTCCTTCATTCGTATTTGTCGTATTTATCTATGCGTATATATAAATACGACAAATACGAATGAAGGAAATGCCGGGACGGGAGATCGTCAATTTTGACATAAGTGTAAGAATGCAGCCATAAAATTGGTGGAAATGAAGGAGATTTAAGACAATCATCTTTGTTTGCCTTCTATGTTTTGTTTTATTCCTGAATTCTCTTATATGCGTTGATTCAGCAAGTAATTTACCTAGTCACGTACAAACAAACGATGAAATGTTTCAACTTGCATACTTACAGTACAGTATTAATAATGTCTCTATTGCCACATATGAACTTGAACGGTCTGTGCCAGTGGAAGTAGTGCCAACAATAACAAGCTTTCGTTGCTAGGGATGCAACCTGAAAAATACAAAGCGAAATTCGACGTTTTGAGCAAAGGTCCTTCCTTACTATCGTCAGGAAGTTAGTAGCGGGGGTTGGATAAATTACATGAGCTTTTTTTCTAAGAATATAAAGGCGATCACGTGACAAAAAATGAACCAATCAGATGGGTTTAGTCAAAACAAAGTACAAACAAATTCTTAGGCCTTTTATTACTGGAACTCCACATTAAAAGAAATATGCAAGGAACTTACTCAATATTTGTTCTTCAATTTCAGGCCGAAAAAACAAGTTCAGGTTTATCCAAGATTGGTCGCCTGTCAAGTGGGCCTGGAACCTCCATTCCTGAACAGAAATCAAAAGCACTGAGTGGTCTTCAACGGCCAACAACGGTTCGACCGTCTTCTGCGTCGAAGCTCAACCCTCCGCAATCCAGTGGCCTCCAGACACCATCAAAATCTGGTACTAAATCTGGTACACTACAAACACCAACATCCCGACATCAACTTTCACAGAAACAAGCACTACCTGCAGCTGGAGTGAAACAAGAATCACCACCACAACAATCACAGCAAACAAAACAACAACCAAAACAACAACAACAGCAATCACAACCAAAACAACAGCAGCCAAAACAGCAACAACAACAACAGCAACAACAACAACAACAACAACAACAACAACAACAACAACAACAACAGGCAGATAAACCAAGCAGCAATCTGTCTATGAGAGATTTAGTTGAGTTACAACATCAATGTGCGGAAAAGGATCGTCAAATTCAAGATCTTGAAGAAAAATTAGCGACTGTTAAACAAAAACGTCTGGAAGATAAAGTTAAATTAAAAGAACTTGAAAAGACAAAATTACAGCTTGGTCAGGTACTGTATGCATATGTTAATTGATAGTATCACTTCTTACCACATTATTTTGCTGATTATTTTTGACAACTCTTTCAGTTGGTAACTTATAAGACAAAGTGGCAAGAATCACAGAAAGATCTTCAAGCCCAACTAAAATCTGCCAAAAAGGTATAATTAATAATAAAATTGTTTTTCTTAAATATTGTTAACAAAGTCATACAGTATTGTAATAACGTAATTATTGAGTATGATGGAGTATACGATGTGTTCCTGTTGGGAAGTATCATATTTCATGGAGAGTTGGTTGCATGGAGTATCGATCATTTTAGATTTATTTATGATTAATGAGCCCTAGGCTGAGAATAGCACTAGTCTATACACAAATAGTGCAGACAATTTTACTGCATATACAATACCTAACCCGATCTTAGACAGAACATTAATTCTAAAACATCAAATGGCTCAGCAACTATACAAGCTGCTGACTGAAAGCATATTGCACAAACCAGTTAGCCACGCGCTCGGTAATACTAATATTGCATATTCTGTAAATGTTATACTTTTGTACAACTTTTTGTTTCATCCTGTACCACATAAAAAAAAACGATTATACGTCTCTATTACGTGCAGGAACTTCAAGAGCTGAAAGAAGCTCACGATGAACAACCAGATGATTTGGCCTCTCTACAAGAAGCGGTTGAAATGGCGACATTGGATAAAGAAATGGCGGAAGAGAAGGTAACTCACTGCATGAATGTTATATCCATTGCGTGGTATAATACCTCAAGACTGGTTTCCATTTTGTCATCACTGTGAGCTTATGAAGGTGGCAGATATAATACTTGTATAATAGATATAAAAGCAAATAGAGCTGAATTATATAACATGGAAATATATTTTGCATGATATGAATTTAAGGCCCGAATACAAAGTTCGTTGTTTGGGATGATCTCTGTATTATAAACAATAAGAAGCAATGTGTATTGTTTTTGCACATCTGTCCTTTGCCAAGAAAGAAGCCAAGTTATCCCATAACCTGCATTGACGTTTAGTAAATTATCCATTTCTTGCAGTTTGAATCAATTGTTCAAGAAAATGAGAGTTTGAAGGAAAAGGTGGAGGAATTTTCACTGGAGTTGGAAATACTGAGGAGTGAGGTTTCAGATGGAGGTATGGAAAACATCTCAGGACACTTGTGAATCTTGCCTGTAATATTGAATATCAAATGTTGACATACTGTATGCTGTTTTTACAGGAATAGAAGGAGCAGCCACGAATGCTGA